CCCCGGCCGGGGGGGCCCCGCCGCGGGCCCGGCCCGGCCCCGCTATGCCACGGCGGGCGGGCGGGCGAAGCGGGCGAGGAGGAGCCCGGCCGTGCCCGGGGCCGGGCCGCTCACCGGCGTGCTGGTCCCGTGGCCACAGGTAGTAGGTGGCGGGGATGACGATGAGCCCCACGAAGCTGGTGAGGAAGTAGAAGAACGTGTTGCCGCTGTCGTCGTACTGGAACTGCTGCCCCGCCATGGCCGCGCCGGCCGCCCGTCCCCGCCGCCGCCGCCGCCGCTGCTGCTGCTACCGGCGGCCCCCCGGTGTCGCCGCCCCGGGGCCGATCCAGCCGCTCCGGGATCCCGCGAGATCCCACGCTCCCGCTCCCCCGCCCCTTCCCGGGCCAGAAGGAGACGTGTCACTGCTCAGCCACCATAGCTGAGACTGTGGCGTCACGGGCCCGCCCGCCCGCAGGCTCCCCCCCGGCCGCTGGTTGGCTCGTCGAAAAGCCCCTCCCGTCAGGATCGGGGAATCCGTCGCGGAATCCCACGGTGGGGAAGGTTGCGAGGGAGCGCAGTGGGGCACCTGGTCCGGCCGCCCTGCTCAAACAGGGCCGCCCTGGAGCACATGTCACAGAATCACAGAATCGTTCGGGTTGGAAGGGACCTCTGGAGATCATTCAGTCCAACCCCCTGCCAAGGCAGGGTCGCATAGAACAGGTGGCACAGGAGCTCATCCAGGTGGGTTTGGAATGTCTCCAGAGAGGGAGACTCCACGACCTCCCTGAGCAGCCTGTTCCAGTAGTCTGCTACCTTCAGTGTAAAGAAATTCTTCCTTAAGTTGAGGTGAAACTTCCTGTTTTATGGCTGTTGCTCCTTGTCCTGTCGCTGGGCATCATCCTCTTGGCACCCGCCTTTGAGATATTTACATGCATTAATGAGATCCCTTCTCAGTCTTCTCTAGACTAAAGAGGCCCAGCTCCTTCAATCTCTTCTCACAAGAGAGATGGTCCACACAGCTCATCATCTTTGTGGCCCTCTGCTGGACCTTCTCCAGTAGCTCCTTGTCTTTTTTTCTACTGAGGAGCCCAGAACTGGACACAGCACTCCAGATGTGGCCTCACGGGGGCTGAGTAGAGGGGGAGGATCACCTCCCCCTTCTCAATGCACCCCAGGACACCATTGGCGCTCCTGGTTGGAAGGGCACTCTGCTGGCTCGTGGTGTACTTGTCATCCACTAAGACTCCCAGGTCCTTCTCCATAAAGCTACTATCTAGTAGGTCAGCCTCCAACCTGTACTGGTATTTGGGGTTGTTCCTACCCAGGTCCAGTACCTTACACTTGCCCTTGTTGAACCTCGTTAGGTTTCTCTCTACCCAATTCTCCAGCCTATCAAGGTCCCACTGAACCTATTCAGCGGTACGGGATTGCATCCAGATGGTTCTTGAATATCTCCAGTGAGGGAGACTCCACAGCCTTTCTGAGCAGTCTGTTCCAGTGTACAATCACTCACACAGTAAATAAGTTCTTCCTTGTGTTCAGGTGGAACTTCCTGTGCATAAGTTTCTGCCTGTTGACTCTTGTCCTATTGCTTGGCACAACTGAGTAGAGCCTGGGGTAAAGAGATAATTTCAGACATGATAAAGTTCTCCGGATTTGGAGGGTGGATCCTCAGCAGCCATGTGAGAGCAAACATTTAAAATGTGTCTAATTGTGAATTCGGTTGCAGGAATGATAATACTTTACAAGGGGCTGTGACCTTAAAGGTGTGAAATCAAGACAAGGTTGATAATCAAGCCCATTCATGAGAATATGCCCATGATCTCATACAGATCTCACAGCTTTAGTACTTGTAAGTTCAGGCTATGGGAAAATGTGACAGAGAAGTCATGGCATCATGTGCAGGGGGAGCATTAGGCATTCCTTAGAAAAGTTCTGTCCCAACATTAGCAAAGACTGATGTGGGAAGTGGAGATAAAGGTAACACAGTGCCACAACCAGTGAGTGGCACCAAATGTCCTGGTGCCATGCTGTGGTAATCCATGAATGGAAGAAATCCCTAATTGTTTTCTGGGAAAAGATTTTGTGTTAATTAAAATGTTTTAAAATAAAAGATCCAATTTTTTTCACTGATACTCTTTGTAATTGCTTCCAGTTAGATCCTTTTAAGGTTCACAGGCAAAGTTTAAGATATTTCCTTCTATGTTCTTTGCTACGAGTATTGCACACACTCTGCAGTGATGGCAACTCTTGCAGTAGTTGTTTTGGAAGATACCTGAGCACATGAAACTCACCTCCGTCTGGATTTCTAGTCCTTAATGTTTTACAGTGAGGCCGTGAAAAGCTTCTGTACAGTAAATAAGAAGACAGGTAAAAACCTACACATATAGTCAGCCCGATTTTGTAAGCAGAGGAAATGTTCTTTCTCCAGCTGTGCTCATCTGCTGAGTTTGCTACTTCAGTCAGATAAAGGGACAAAGCTCTCAAAGATTACATTCCTACAGGTTTTGTGAAAGCAGCCTGTTAGATGAGGAAGGCTAAGATCTTACTACACAGGGTAAAATCCACATGGGAGGCAGTCTGAGTAAGTGCCCTATAGAAAATCCCTGGTCCATGCGTTCAGCCGATCACAGGAGCCCAAGCAGGAGGAAAGCAGGCATCGCTCATGTTGCAGATAACCAGATGGTTTCTTAATGTCATTGTTTCAGAACCCAGCTACAGATTTTCTAGCCATTGTTGGCAACATCACTCCTTTGTCCCATTGTCGTGTGAGGGGGTTGGTTGCCTGTGGCATTAACTGACCTAGCAGGGGAATCCTAAGGGTCTGCTTTCAGCCTCATCCTGTCTCTGCTTTCTCCCTGCCAGCCTGTTCTAGCCATTAGGCAGGAGCCACTGGAAAGAAGGGCCTGAAAAAATAATTCCTGCTGTCAGGTCCAGTATGCAGGTTTCCCCAGCCAAGAGAGGGGATGCCCCATGATTGAACAGTAGCGAAGAGAGACCATTCTAGCCTAAACCCCAACAGTTTATTTGAGTGCTGTTCCTTACGTACTCATTTCCCTATAAAAAATGATGGTGATCTCTTGCGTCCCAGGAAAAAAGAAGAAGCGATGTTGCTTTTTCCACTCATGGCCTGTCTGGAAGGTCATCCAGGTAAAATAACCCCCAGTTGCCTGGACTTGAGGAGCAGCTTGGTCCACTGGAGGTGAAGATAGCATTATGGCATCTCCTAAGTAGATAATAATTTCTAACCTAGAGGAATTTGATCTTCCCCATATGCTCTCAACATTCTTTAAGGACCTTTTGTGTCAACTCACAGAAGTGCCGTTTTTTGCAACACAGCTCTGCCATGCTACTAGCTGTCATAGTGGGTTTTTCCACATGGGCAGGGATGGGTTCTGCAGCTGTGGGAGCTACCCTCAGCATCTCAGCACTTGGCCATCCACCTGGCTTCCCTTCAGCACCCTGCACCAGGTTCAAACTACTCATTGTTATACATATGGTCATTTGCTCAGTGGTTTCACAGTTACCAGCACCTCTCCTGCACATCCACTGGTGACTTTTCTGATCTCATGGGAGGTTGTTGGTCGCTGACCACCTCTACTGAGTGTGCACCTTCAGGCTTTTATCAGGCTTAGTTACAAAAATGCAGCTGACTGAGTTCAATCCCACCTTAATTCCTAACCACACAAGCCAGAGACACAAATTACTGGCAGAAGAAAGTGCGCTTTGACAAGACCCCATAATATCTGTTGATGAAAAGCAATGACAAACCTGGTATGGTGCCAAAGCTGACCGTCAGACTGGTTTAGTGGATAGGAATGATGAAACTTAGAACAATTCAGCCATAACAGGTATGTGCTTTCCAAACAGAATGGAAAACTTTATGATTGTAAAATGGAAATTGCAACCTAGTAGATACACCTACAGCTGGGGGAATCTGTGCTCCACATGTCATCTTCCGCATTCCCTCACATCTTAATCTTCCGTGAGGTGACGGACTGCCTTCCTGCAGCTGACAGTGTGGAGAGCAGGCATCTCCAGAGGTAATGTTTGGCCGGCAGATGGTGCTATGGAGATTATGCAAAGCAGCCACCCTAACAGGGTTCGACTCTCGGTTTCCGCTGAATCCGTAAGTCAAAAGAGACTCATGTGAAGTCGTTTTTAGTAATAGTGCTACAGCTCGAGCTGGGCACCTCTGAAGGGCACCCCAAACAAAGAAATCCCTGGGCAATCGTTCCCTTACAATCTAAGTTCACCCCTCACGTGACAGCTCATCCCAGTTGGTAATATTGGGGTCTGGGGTCTTTTTGCTTTTTATTGGTTTGATTTTCTTGCTGTTCATTACTAAGTAGTTGCTAAGTGATCATCTTCTTATACAATATACAATGGTTCTGTACCCTGTTTCACATCCTCTTAGGTTGTTTTCAGCTGGTTCTGTAGTTAGCTATTTGACATGCTGTAATGGTTGTTACAGTTCATGTACCACAATCTATAGGCTTTGAATGTTCTAGCTATTAATGTTTAAGCTGATAGTGCTAAATTTAAACTAACACGTTCTACAACAGTCCCCCTTTTGTTTTTATTAACATTCCTGTTATATGGGAGCAGAATATTTGTAATCCCTAAGGTGTGAGCACAGTTGAGTACAGCAACTGTTACAACACTGAGTACAAACAAACAGTATTTCAAAGGTTGTTAAAAAAAGGAATAAACCATGAAGAATTAATTTTGCCCAAGCTCCTAGTCTGGTACCCAGGAGGTGACCCAATACTTCTTGGTGAAGTATTGGTGAAGAAGAGACCATACTTCTTGGAATCTTGCTAAAGTATTGTCCAATTGTAATGAATGCATTAATTTTACTTGGTCTTACGAGGTCATGGAACCATCCAGTTATCAGGTATTTCTTTGGTAAGACAGGTTTTGCCCCTGTTGTTTATGTTCCATCTTCATCCTCCACTGCTTCCCACTTTTCCCACTGTTCCTTTTCTTCATTTGTCACATCAGTTGGTATAATTCTTTTGGATGGTCAACATCGGGCCATGAGCTCTTATCTGAAGTAACTGCCATAATGTTCACCACAGGTTGATGAGCCACGGCTTTTGCTGCTGCATTAGCTAAGGCATTCCCTTTGCTGATTACAATAGTGTCCCTTGTACAGGCTGGACAGCAAACCACAGCAATTTCTTTGGGAAGTGGGATTGCATCCACCAAGTACCAAATTTCTGTTCCATTAGCCATAGCTTTTCCAGAGGAGGTGAGAAACCGCCATTCTTTCCACAACATACCTTTTGTTTGGCATACACTAAAAGCACACCTTGAATCTGTATGGACAGTTACTCTTCCCAGGCAAGCTGCTTGGGCTAACACAATTAACTCTGCCCCTTAAGCACTAACTGTGCCCGGAAGGGCTCTGGCATCTGCAACTTTCCACTGGTCCACATTTTCATAGCCAGTTTTTGATTGCCCATGTAAACAGTTGGGTGATCCATCTGTGAATAAAACAAGATTCGAGTTCTGTCTGCGAGATCTGCTTGTGCCTTACTAATAGTCTGGATTAGCATGTCACATTGCTGATGCTCTTCCCCTTCTCCAGGTGTTGGTACTAGTGTTGCCAGGTTCAACATGTTGCACCTGTTTAGAGTCACATTATCTGCATTTAGAAGAGTTAGTTCATATTTATGTGCTCACTGGGGAGACAAGGCTTGTGTTGCACAGTGTTCGTGAAGTAATTCAACTTCATGTGGCACATAGAACATAATTGGGTGAAGTGGTCTAATAGTAAAAATTGACTTTTTTCCTACTATTCGAGCTGCCACTGCCACTGATCTAGTGCATGTTGGAGCTTCAGATGCCACTGGATCCAGCTGGACAGAACACTACGCCACAGGTCTTTGATGGGGTCCTAATTTCTGCATTAAAACGCCACTAGACTCTTTTTTTCTCATATGTATATACAGATCAAAACGCTTTGTGTAGTCTGGAAGTCCTAAAGCTGGAGCCAAAGCCAAAGCTTCCATGTGATGGGTTCTATTTCTTAATTTTTTTGTTGCTTCTGTCAGAGATTACGTTAGTTCCCCTAATCCTGGTGTCCATGGTCAGCAAAACCCAGCTGCACCTCAAAACCCTCATAGCTGGGGAGTTTTCTGTAGCTGGCAGAGGAATTTCATTTATAGCTTTTATTCTTTCTGTATCTGTTACCTGCTGTCCTTCCTCTGAAATGAATCCCAAATATTATAGTTCCATTTCATCCAGCTAGAGCTTGGATGGAGATACACCCTTGGTTGCTAAAGCAGTGCCTGAATGTATAGTGTCTTTTAAACAGTCATTACAATTTCTACTACCTATTAGTAAATAAATCATGTACATATTGCACTAAAACTAATCCACCAGGAAATTCAATATCCTTGAAATCTTTTAATATTTGAGAAAATATGGTGGGAAACCCATTAAACTCCTAGAGGAGACAAGTTCATGTCAACTGTTTTCTCTTCCAAGTGAATGCAAACAAGGGATGGCTTTCTCCATCTGTGGGAATACTGAAGAACACTGCAATCAAATCAGTCACAGTAAAGCACGTAGCCCAGTGCAGGATTTGCAAGAGTACAGGAGTGGGATCTGGCACTGCAGGGTGTGAGACAATGATATACTGGTTAGTTGCTCTCAAATCTGGAACAAATCAAAAGTCAGGATCTCCGCCTTTTTCCTGTCTGTTTTTTCTTGCTGGTAACACTGGGGTTTTATATGGGAATTCAGACACTTCCAAGATTCCTCGGGCAGGGTGCTG